ACAGGAAAACGCAGTTCAATCGTTATCTTTCTCGTCTCGATCGTGGCGTAGCGGATGATGAAGGAAGGAAAGAGATAGAAATGAAATCAAGAGCCAGGGGAGCTAGATGCGAACTAACGGTGTGAAAACGAACGAGACAATGTGTGTGTGCGTCATCTTACAAATATTATGTTGACTAGAGTCTACATTATCTATACACACCACCTATTTTATCATCGACGAGTTATACGCGGGCGGCCGCACACGCCCCACCGGATCGTCCCTTTATCTCACGGCCACTCATACCTCATTAGACGTCTATTTTTCTCTTATCCATGTAGGTACGTACACATATAATCGTGTAATATCGTAAAATACAGTATAGATCGCGTCTGTGCACGTATGCGACGAGGTATCGCTCTCTGTACAAATCGTCCGCGGGATTTACGAGCATCGTTTCTCACCCCCCCTCTTTCTATGGCATTGTCTCGTTGAATCCGATTTAAAGACGGGGCGATTCCTCGTTCGCCACGTCCGCACAATTCATCTTACTCTCCGATCGCCATTCATATCATAAATATTTATATATATATATATATTTTTTTTTCTCCTCGAATATTAGCGCGACGAGTTGTGTTCGTGTGAGCTGTCCGTCACTCAGGTGTGCATCTACCACTTCGGCGTGTACATGTATGTATGTGTAAACGTGTATGTGAGTATGTATACAATAATATCGCTTCTCGCTTCTGTTCCTTTCGGTGACTTAAGTTATTACGGCGTTAACTAAAAGACACGTTCTTTACATACATAGTAATCTCTAGTTAGACGATAAATCGATAGGTATTTTGTTCGTACGAGTTGGCAATCAATCGAGACTCCACCATGGCTAATCAGATTACACACATCGATTATCGGGTATATTTATCACTTCCGGTGGACAATCCCTATCTCGAAGATTGATCTGTTCGGTCCATTCCGGAGATGCGCTTGCATTATTCGCATTGCAAGCTTCACGTAATTCGGGCGCTACCTCAAGCTTCTTGAAAGTATATCCCATATAGGATTTTATATAATAACCAGTGCTGGGCCATTACTGGTTGCCATAGTTCAGGTATTGACGCAGTACTGGTTAAGTATTGGATGATAACTGGGATCCAGTACTGGCCCAGTCATTTTAGCCCAATCATTTGCCAGTGATGGCCCAGTATTGATTGACAGAACCTTGGTCAGTTGACAGTCGTAGCGTTGACCAAGTGTTGGTTTCGTTGTAACTGCTGGCGATCCTATTATTCTTGTAGCGAAAGAAACAGCGACACCCGATGCTGTCCCTTCCGCTGAAGATTTCTGTTTTCTCGCTTTCGTGAACTCGGGAATCGATTTTTGTTCTAATTTTCCCGAACGACGATCAGCCTTATATGAGCGTTTTTAGTCATGATGCAATTCCACGTATCGACGATAAAGCGATTTTCTTTCTAACGAGCATGTGTACCACTCTCGCGTAGCTAATCACAGTGGGCTGACCAAATAGAACGTATAGAGTCACTATTCTCTTTCTTTCCACGCGTATTTCCCGACTTCGGCACTTTGTACTCGCTGCCTCTGCTCTCTCCCTTTCGTCCAGCGACGTCGTCCGAAGGCGATTAGGGCGGACAATTATATCAGTTTTCAATTATGTACGCACTCGCGTATGACGAAATGAACCTGACGCGATTCGCGAGGAACTATATTTTTTCTTTATCTGTATTTTGTCTTTCGTTTTCGTTCCGTGACGCGAAAATCCGAGTCGACTTGATAACGTTATCGATTATCACGGAAGAACGTCATTCGATAGTATTGACTGATACTTATCGCGATTATTATTAAAACGGTGTCGTTACTTAATTATAATATAGTTTCGGCAAGTTGAAACGAACTGGTTTTGAGTCTCCTGCACTCAATTGCTCATTATTAACTTAAATGAGTAGTCTTTCAAAAAAGAGTAGACTAATTTGTACTGTACGAGTTAGGCCAAGCGACGGAACGTACACTTCGCAAAATATCTGCGCTTTTCGACGCACGGTGACGAATAATCGATAAGACACATTTGTAAATCAGTACGGATGCGCAATGAGTAGTATTTTTACATACAACAAAAACGCATTGGCAGATTCATGGAAAGGTTATATTCCCCGCCTCCTCTTGAAGTCTTCTTATTAATAAAAACTTATAATAAAATGTTACATATATTTTTAATATTTCTCAAAAGCTTAATTACAATTTTGATATTCCAAAAATATTTTTTAATTTAAAAAATTCAGATATAAAAAATATAGATTTTATTATATTATGCTTTTTGTGTTAATATAATTTAAAATAAAACAAATTCAAGTAAAGAAATATATAAAATTTATAGACTCCTTAAATTAATACAATGAAAAAAATAACGGTAAAATACAAATCGACGTTAGGAGTCAGCGCTGGATATTATATTGCACAATGCTAACTAATACCTACCCAGTAAACAGGCTGTGCACAATTTCGGAACATTTACATAGCATAGTGTATGTAAATGTTACAGAACAGCACAACGAACCAAAAACGTAGCAGGTATATCATTGATGTAAAATGGCTATAACTGTTATGTACGACCGTACTGTCACTATTTCGATGCATAGTTCATATAACATTTACGTAATTTGAATAACATAAATTTTCATTCTCTGAAAACTTTGTAAATGTTACGTAACTGTGATAATGTTACGTTATTTATAAATGTTATGTGTATGTTCCTTTCTTTTACCGACTTTGTTACGCGAAATATGATTAAAATATGCTGACATTTTGATCTGAAAATGACGTAACTCTTACAGAACAGTGGAACATCGTTCCGTAATGATTACGTAATTGTTACAGAACGATGTTTATTGAGTATTAATATGTCACAAATTCAATTTTGTACGTTTCGGCTCACTATTTCAGCCATCCTCAGCAATAAAAAATTACCGCTTATTGCACTATAAAATCTGTCAAACTGTGTCTCGCACAATCATACTTCCGACCTCCAATAATGCAGTCGCGGTGGAAATGTGGTGAGAGACAACCATCTTCAACATAGTCTAATAATGTGATAACCAGTGGTTTAGCTGAATAGAGCAGATAGTGAAACTCAAGCCCATCTCCAACAACGATTGCATGCAGATCCAAGCATCGTTAATCCATTACAACAAATTTAAAAATCACGATGTCAAAGTTAGATTGAAAAATAATGTAACATAAAAAAAAAGAGTCACGTTCGTTCGATTGCATTATTGGAGGTTGGAACTACGATACGGCTCAAATAGTGAGCCGAAACGTAAAAAATTGAATTTGTGACATATTAATAGGTATTAGTTAGCATTGAGCAATATAATATCCAACGCTGACTCCTAACGCCCATTTGTATTTTACCGTTATTTTTTCATTGTATTAAAATAAAATGTTTTATAAATTATACATTCAAATAATATTTTTTCAAAGTAATAATTTAAATAATAATTTAATGTTCTGTTTTTTTTACGTTTGACTTTAAAACAAAATTTTGCTTACGGCACGTCAATGGCTTCCCTTTTTGGATCTGCCAATGCAAAAGCGACTACTTATCGATTTCTTTTCGTCATAAGCTTCATGCCCTCCATGTAAATTTGGAGACAAAAAAAAATATTATACTATAGATGTAATGTATACGCAGTATTGTATAATTTAATTTTCATAGATGTCTCCTTCATCACCCTGGCTAACGTCATGAAATAGGCTTTACGAATATAGGCTTTATGAAAATATACAATATACATATTAATTTTTTTTTGCTTAAAAAAAAATGATTGATTTATAAACAGATTTCTCAACGACGTGATCGCTAATGCTTTTGTATCAATACATATAATATAAAAAAATACGATAATTTAAAGTGCGCTTCGCTTTGCTTTGTTTCATTCTTGGGTATAAAATACAAGTAACGGTAAATTAAAATAGGGAGTTTTTGCAATACCGTTTATCCAGATACGGTGAACGTTAAGGTTAGGTTATCTTCTTCTTAACAACTAATTAAGAAAAGGATAACATGGCTTTAGCGTTCACCGTATCTGAATTCACGTTATTGCAAAAACTCCCTAATATCGCGATTGTCATCACCGTAAAAGAATTATATTACTTTACGTTTTTAATTAAAGAGAAAGCGTAAGCCACAGCGCGAGTCGATAACTTGTAGTGTCATTTTCTGGTGTCTTTCAATAAATAATTCCGATGGAAAATTTCGGCCTCTGCTTTCTTTGTGAATGTCACCTATAAAAAAAATCCCCGCTATTTTTCATAGAGAGATCGCGCCCTACGAGTAACGTTGCGCGTTAGACATTATCAAAATCGTATAATCTTCTATGAAGTTGTGCGTTCGACTCGTTTACGGATATTTCGCGGACGTGAAACGAATTGAACACGCGATTCGATATTTGCTACATACGTAGTTTTGATTTTCGCGTATCGAGCGGCCTACAGCGCGAAATCACTCGTCCGAACTTAATTTTAATGATTAACGATTGACGATTGACGATCGACGATCACGGCGGCTGATACCGGTATCGTCGTTTAAATGGCAGTAGCAAGCACGATAAGCCGTGCATTGTCGTGGCCAACGATCGTTGGCCATAAATCGAAGTGGATGAAAAACGAGAGAGGGCAGACGCTTATAAATGAATTTTCGTTATCACGCGCATCACAATCGTGATTCGTATATGCGAAGCATTTCGCTCCGACGATGCACCCCCCACGCAGATGTATTGTATAATAGATAAACTAAAAACACGTAGAATAATTGGATACACGTGTATACGTATATGATATATTATATATGTACACACCCATCCGCGGTAATATCGTCCTAATAATTAGGCTATCGTAATGATTCTTTGGCAACTCGGAGCTGTCGGATTTTCGACGTGCGTACGCACGCACGCACGCGCGCACGCACGCACATACGCACACACACACGCACATATACACACAAATTTCCTATTACATGTACATATATATAATATTTTATGTAACGTGTATGTGTGTGTGTTGTGTGTGTGCACCTATACGTATTATGCATATGTATGCGCGGGCGCGCGCGCGCGCGCACGTGTGTGTTGTGTATATCAATAATTATACGATATATATAATATATACAAAATAAGATTAAACAACGTAAACTTACGCGACGGACAAGCATCGCCCATCCGGCATGCATCGGCGGCAATTTTGTCTCTTTGTTTGGCACTGTCCGCTCGCGCGTTGGAAATCGAGTTTCCTTACCGAAATTCTTTTTCCCTTCACATTTTTTTTCGTTTTTTTTTAACATTCACGTTAGCTGTATGTACACTAAGAAATCCGCTCGAAGATCCTCCAGCTCTCCTTTGGATGCGAATTATCACCTCTTCTGCGATGCGAGGATCAGTCTGTACAAGGAGAAACAGATTTTTCTTTTACAATATCGCGTTGTATTTGCTCGAAAATTCGACGCATGACCTGCACTTACCAGATTGTAATTAAATTTCCGGCGTTGGGGAATCTCGATTACAGCGGGGCCGACTTTCGCGAGGGTGCGCTGCAACCGAAGATAGGCCGGCATCATTGCGGCATCATCTTACAGCTGGGCTCCATATTGTCGGAGGGTACACGCATGCTACCATTTGTGATATAACCATTAGCATCGACCATTACGGAGACGCCGGATGGTGGATGATTATGATAACTAATGTTTCTCTGCGACACCACCATGCTTTTTTCCGACGGTACTACGTGATCGTTGCTGCCGCCGTGGGAGGAGAGGCAGGGTTCGCTCCCACGACTGCTGGACGATTCGATTGGGTGATCCACGCGTATAGGAATGCTATAGTCGGACAGGTATTCGGAACTGACTTCTACGGTCGCGTATTCGCGAATGACAGATGACTTGGATGGATAATCTATCGGCATATGTTGAATCGACGAGGCCGACCTGATCTCGTTCGGGTCGTTCAGCGTAGCGACGTGTCCGTTCGCCATGGCGTACAGGTCGGGCTCCGCGCGGCCTTTCGTAGACAGCATGGACTCGAGACACTGGTACAGCAATATGTAATCCTCCTGCGAATGATAAATTGGCAAAAATAAATTTTCTCTTTTAATACGATACGACTAAAAAATTACGCAAAGAGATATTCTAACTTGGTGGAAGGCTTACCTTTGAGCGGAAAACGCCGGGTCGCTTCATGTAAAGCAGCTTCGCGAACATATAGATATCGGCGCTTTGCTCGAATTCCAATTGCTTGTTTAACGTAGTCAGCAGAACAAAGAGTGCAGCCTCGACTCCACCGTACCTAAAATGTATAACAATATGAAATAAACGAAATGTTTGTAAATTGAATAATAAATCACCACTAAGAATTTGGTTACGCTCCAATTACTGCGTTTGACTCTTATTGCCAGTGTACTTCTCCTTATTTATTTTTGATATAAAGTATATTCGCTTAAATAATTAAATGTCACCGCGAACTAGTAGAAATAAAATGTTCTGCACCTGTCCATTACAACAATAGGACCGTTCTGATAATCCCGATGAAAGTCCTGAATGATGCTGACGAAAGTCTTCGGATTATTATTATGCGGCCACAAACCGCTTTGATTCGACGGCGCTTGAACGATTCTGGCGCTAAGCTCGTAATCATCCTGCAACGATCGAACAGCCACTTCTAACAAGATCGTTCCGTTCACAGTCTCTTTCGTACCACAGAGTCGTACTCGGAACGTCTCGGATTCGAGATCCTTTCCTTCGAAGGGCCAAAACTCCGGATACTCCTCCTGTCGAATAACATTCTTTATTACAAAATCTCGTTTCTTTTACTTCTTAAAACAATCCCGTTTTATTCGAGATGTACCTCGTCGCATTGAGTTAACATGACGATAGTCTGCGCATTGTGGTCCCACATCATTTGCCAGAACTCCATTATGGTGTTCTCCATTGGATGTTGCGTTATGATAAACTCGCGATTGCGTTGAAAACCTAAAAGTACCAAATAAATATTTTATCAACATTATTAAGATCGTTTCGAAGATGTGAATAAGCATCAAAAATTTGTTAAATTGCTAGTCAATTTAACTTGTGATATTACTGCGGTAGTTTAACAGAGTTAACGTTTCAAGGCTTTGATTTCTGTAGTTTATGTTATCACACATATACGGTCCTATAATATATTATATTAAATATTTTGTCGTCGTTTACAGGAATTTAAACTGTGACTTGATACGAGCAAATTCATGATTGATTACCTGAAACCCATGTCGCGTTTATGTAGTCGCTTCCGTCGACGCCTGGTTTCGGCGTTAGGTGAACGCGCGCATTCTCGATAGGGATAATGTCCATGTTACGATTCTTGTGGACGTTGCACGCTTTGGTGGCGGATACGAGATTGAAGTCCTTAGGTTTCCACGACGTCACCAACTGTAGAAGCGACGAACAATTAGATTAGATGATTTCATGTTCGGACATTGGCAATTCCAAGGATAAATCAGTTATCAGTACCTTGTATTGAGCTTCGATGTTGTTCCACGCGTCAGTCTTGTTATTCGATGGACACAGCATATCTTGAATATGCTTTATTAAGTTATTGGAGTCGATGTTGGTCTCGCCGCTCTCGATCGCCTCCTGCAGAGCATCGTGAATAAAGATGTACTGCTCTTCCGTCTGAACCAGGAAGTTTCTCTGAGTACGGATGTGCTTGAGGAAACCGAATACGTTAATCTCGCCCTTGGCTTTAGCTTGCTTCAGCATAGCGTCGATCACGATGTACGTTCCGGTACGTCCGACGCCAGCGCTGAAATAAAATAATAATTTTATACATCAAATAGATAGACCTTTAAAGATAGAAATATTTAATCATTTAATGCCACACTATACATTTTGTTACAAATACAACATACATAAAAATAAACATATTATAACAATACATTTTTTAATCCAAACGTCAGACATTAAGAAATATAATGCTAACAAATAAATGTATGTATCTTTTTTTTCTTTATTAAGAAAAAAGTGTATAACATATAAAATAAAAACAATTCAAGTATGCTATACCGAGAGTGGCATCGAAGAGTAAAAAAGGTTTGAAGGGTCGAATTAATGTTTCTGTTGTTTGTTAAAATGCATTTTTCACCTGCAATGAACTACGATAGGTCCAGCCTCGGGCGGATTAGCGTTGGACGATTTGCGAATAAAACTCAGAACAGGTAATGGATGATCGGGCACGCCATGGTCAGGCCAGCTGGTGTAGTGATACTGCCATATAGTGCGCTCGCCCATATTGGTCCCATTTTTCTTCTTCTTGATCTGCTTAAAAATCAAAGAGTTTCTTGTTGAAAGACTTACTCGGTTATTGGCTTTTGATTTCGCTATGATACTCTTTTTTTTACATTTTTATTCCTCTTTTTGAAGAATGTTTTAAGCGCGTACGTTTTATTTTTAAATATATACCTTTAAATGTCGAATTTGGAGAGTACGGATAGTGTACGTGGCCATAATGTCCTCCCTCACTAAAGTTACTTGAATGTAACCGTACGTTTCAGTCCCTTCCTTCGGCCAATACATATCACATTTCCTCTACAAGTAACAATAATAATCCATAAGTAATTATAATTCAATAAATCAGATTTCTACGATTGTTACAGCAAGCCAAGCATTTATGTGTGTAAATAATTTATGTTTGTTTCTAACCAGTTTCAACATTTTATTATCTATAATTTTTAATTAATATTGTAAAAAAATATCGATATCACTTTATACTTACACGACCACGCTCAACAAGATTGGTAATCATTACAACTATTGATACTCGCTGCTCCCAAACCATCCGCCAAAAACCATCGAACGTAGGCGGGAGCGGACCCTGAGTACCGATGTAAGCTCGCGCTCTTTGCCATCCGTCGATGTAGTTTGCGTTAACATAATCCTGGCCTTTTTTAGGCGGTCCACCGCCGCAGGAGAGCAATTGCACACGAGTGTGGTCGTCTAATGATAATAACGTAAAGAGTACAGTTAAACCATTTTAGTAAAATTAAGGCAACGCCTTCGCATTCTTATTTCAACCGTAATTTACATAATTATAATTTGTTGCTTGGTCTAAAAATACGGATTTTAATCGTGCTACACAATTATCCACTTATCAGTCTGGCTCGAATGTAAAAATCAACGTGCTATTCAAGCCGAGATATATTATAATATTATCTCATTTTAATACAGAGATTATATCGATTGTTCTATTCTGCTGATAATGAAAAGGCATTTTCTATTTAGAACGTGCGAATTTCGTAAGGGTGCAGCAGTATTCTTGAACAATTGAAAATTTTGCTTTTTCCCGAACAAATGTGTCATTATTTGTCTACACAATAAGTCTAAAAAATATAGGAGTGGATTTGATGCCGTATAATATTTATATAAATATCAACGTGGTGTGAATTTAACACCCATATGATTTAAAACCCATTTATAAATCCACCCTATAGTGTTTATGTTGATACCAACACGGTGAGAATTGTATAACTATATTTATTACTCATACTTAACAGTCTGGTGTTAAATATGGTATTAAATGGTATTAAATTCACACCCATATTTTTTAAAGTATATCTTCCGCTTTAAATTCGAAATTAATAACGACACGTGATAATCTCAGTCTGGTGATATCGATCGTATTGACATACGGGTCAGCGACTGAGGGGTCAGACTGAACTAAAATAAATCAATCGGAGCAAACGGCAACGACAATAGCAAGTAGAAGTCATCCTTAAAAAATCAACGTTCTCGCGGGGAGCAGAAAGTAATATTACTGGTACAATAGTATTACTGGTTCTATATTAAGATGTTTCTATTCGTTTGTAAACAGGCATGGGCAGGCGATACATCAATGCTACTTACACGCGAGTATATTCAAGTATCTGTTCTTGGCCTTATTCTCAGCAAACTGGGAATTCTCCACGGTATAATCACCGGTCTCAGACTGTATTAGCTCGTATTCTTTGCTGAAACCGATGTCACCGTCGGCATGAAGGCTCGCGACATGCTGAACGAATTGCTGGACGGCTACGGCGGTTCTCTCACCGTCCTGCTCGCTGTTCTCCCATTCTTGAAGAGTGGGAACATTCCGCGGCGGGTAATCCAGGTAGTAGTAGGCAGTGTGGAAGCATTTCCTAAAGATCGGTCTAAATAAAAAAAAAACAGGATATTTACTAAAATCTTATTTTTAAAAATTACTTGAGATTTTAAAGATTTTTTTTTACATATTTTTATTCAAAATTTTAAGTAAGATTAGAGAATTAATAAAATTAATCGGACTGCAAGTTACGCAAATTATATATCGTAAATTATTACAGGAGACAAGAATTCCGCGAAACTACACTGAGAAAAAAATGTTTATTTGATTAAATTAATTTAGTTCATCTTTATTTCTTTCGTTGGAGAATCAATATTTATCAAATATATTTGATTTAAATACATATATTCTTCATTGAAAGAAATAAAAACTAAATTAATTTAATTAAATAAATAATTTTTTTCTTAGTGTATATCTATCATTTTCTATAATTGAACCGCGAAACTTATGAGATCGTATAAGGAATACAATGTGAGCTACTTTATTCTGCTGAGTATTGTCTTCTATTGTCATTCTGATTTGTTAAATAAAAGAAATACAAACGCGTATATTCATGTGCGAGAACGTACATGAATATATGCGGATGTGTATATCTATATCGTACTTATTGTTAACCGATTGTCAATATTTTACATTATCAAGAAAAAATTATCAAAGAAGCAATGTTTTCACAAACAGAATTTAAATTTAAAAATAGATGTTCAAAAATTTCCCTGAGTATCGATAAAGATTTATGATTTTCAAAGACAAAAAATTAAATCTAAAAGTAAAAATACAAAAATTTTTCTAAGTATCGATGAAAAGTTCTGTCCCATGAAAATCCTCCCCCCCCCTCTCTCTCTCTCTCGCTCTCTCTCTGCTTGGAGTAAAAAAGAAATCCTCTGAAAATTCGCGAATAGGTTTTTTCAGGTAGAAAATATTCTTGAAAAGGTATCTAAATATCTAGATATCTCTTTCTTTGAAAAAAGTATCTAGATATATCATCTCCTTTTTCAGAATGCATCTCTAGAAGATGCGTAGAAAATCTTTCGTCTTTCATGTACATTATTTTTTAAAAACAATTTTCAAGAATAACGTTTGCAATAATAAACAGCGTTCCACGTAAATTATTCAAGTATCCGTGCTGCAGATGAAAAACACGTGTGGGTTGGGCAGATAGCAACGATCAAATATTGATAATACTCCAAAATCAATGCCGATAACATATTTCTTCGTACTACACGGTTAGAAAGATTCGCGATTTCCACTTAACAAACTTACAAGTTAAGGAAAAACTTCTTCATTTCGATGATACAATCTTGACGATATCCATCATAGGCGAGACCGCCCACAAATCAACGAATGCGCTTGCGAAATAAATGACGATTAGGCCGCGGACCCCGTCCGTGACCCAGAAAATGAGCTTGTCATCAGTCACGGCTGATCCTTTGCACATCGCTCGCGTTACCTCGCGTTGTTCCTAAACGTCACCCGAGACACTGACGCGCGAGAACTCCAAGTAACTCGGAGAAGCGAGAAGAAGAACGGAATTCGTAGACACGCACCGCACACGCGGTCTCGCTCGCGGCGCGCAAGAGTCTAGCTCGATGCGTGCGGCGTAGCGTCACGCTGCGTTGCTTCACTCCGCTTCGCTCCGCTCCACACCGCGCCACAAGTGGCTCCGGTGACTGTAAGAGCACACTTAGGCCTTGTCACCGCTCGTTATCTCACGATAACACCAGAGAGAGACGTAAGAGCCAGCGCCGGGATATATTAAAATACGCATCGTAGTACCTCTTCGCACGTCATATAGCGTCCCCTAAATTATGTTTCATACAAATTTGTTTCCAGTGAAATTTTTGGGAATTTCAAACAATATCTAATAGATTTATTTCTGTCGCGTAAAATCCTGTCGTGAAACCTCAAAATATTCCGCACTTAATACATACATTTTGAAGAGAAAGAAAGCAAAGATTCTGAGTGCAAAAAGTGCAAGCAATACGAATAAACCTATAGATACGTTCGCGAGAAAAGAGAGAGAGAGAGAGAAGAGCAATTTAAAAATAATTTTGAGACTAACTTATAACAAGTTATATACTTAAATAAATTAAGCATCACAATTTGATAAGAAACATAACAGAAGTGAATTATAAAAACCTCATTTTATTTTAATTTTTGAGATATTCTCTAATATAATATGTAAAATCATTTTATTTATTTTCTTTCATGATATTAAAATGAAATAGCGTAGTAACTTGACAAATTAAGTACAGTAGAAACTTTTTCCAAGAACGAGATAATCCGAAGATCATAAATAAAAGAAGGTTGCTAGGATACACAATACCGACTGCAGTGGGAAATCAAGCGGGAAAGCCTGAATGGGAAAAATGGTTGTGGGTGCGTGCGAAGGTGCGCGTGATTGCATCGCTCGCTCCACGAACTTTCTAATTGCCTATACTTCAAATGCGATTCGCGATCCAGGCACGCGTTTACGCTTCAACGTACCGGATATCATCCGGTCGACACACAATTTCCAGCTAACAAAAATGACAGAACATTTGTAGCGTTAGACCGGTCGGTGCAGAACGGAAGTGAAACGTCGGCGATGCGAAATAATACTTCGCAAGATCGACCGTAACTGTAAAGCGTAGCTCATTGCAGCGAGAGAAAGTAGATCTTTCGTTGTCACTTCTCCGATTTGTGGTTTTTACTCTAACTTTTCGATTGTACTTTGTATATCGGCCGCAATAAAGGTGTTATTAATTTTAATATTAATATCAGTTATCTTGACGTATAACTACGTAAGGCTGTGTTTAACGTGCATCATACACTGAGACAAATTTCTATTTGTAAATAAACGAATCAGAAGATTCTATTTATATCAATCAGAATTTTGATTATCTCTCAACTAAAATTATAATAGATTCGACTAGAAAATTTTGATTTGTCCATTTTCAATCAGAATTCCAATTAATGCAACCAGACTTTTTTTCCAATGTAGATTGTTCGGATAAAAGATACAGATCGGAAATTTAAATGACAATACACAATTGGAAAATTTGTATTAATTTTAACATATTTCACGTTTTCCAAACGATTCATTTAAATTTTTGTATTAATTTAAAATAGAATAAATATGTTGAAAGTAATATAAATATTATGTAAAAAAAATTAATACAAAAAATATAATATTGACACTTTGTAAGCAAACTGTGGAAATACATTTTTAACATTTATGACATATTAAATTAACACATTTTATTCACTTTATTTCAAAACACCTTATTTTTATGTTATTTATTTACTAAATTGTACTATTTTAACGATTTTAAGAAATGTTAAATATCAATTTAAATAACATAATCACATCATATAAAATTAACTCGAATATGTTAAAAAATTCAACACAAAATGTTGACAAACAAGGATTTGAGTGAACCGTTTCCAACATAAATACAAAATGTTTCTTACTATGTACAAAAAAAAACAGGCAATTTAATACGCTCAACGGAGGAGCTCTGCTTTGGATTTTCTTTTAATGCGCTCATCGACGTGCGACGCGGAAATATATCACCCGGCGCGGTCGGATGCAGCTAAAGTTTCCTCTGTACGCGCGATAACGCGCAATGCGTTAAACCGTGACTTACTTCCACAACACGAAGGACGTAATGGCCAGCATCACGGCGAAGCAGGCGCAGACCATACCGGCGATCACACCCGCGCTGAGATCCTTGCTGCTGCGGCGCATCAAGGGCGGTATCTTGTCGCAATCGCGGGTGACCAACACCTTCGTTGGTATGGAGCTGTCACCTCGGATGATCAGGCGGTTGTCTATTGTGCTCCTGGTGGCTCCTCGTACCACGATCTCGTAAACAGTGTTCACCGTCAGATTGGGTATAATCGCCTGCAAGCATTAATTCGCAAACACTTATTACGTGCGCCATAATTGCATTTTATCTAAACGAAAAACTATTGACGAGGTACAAGGTGAAAGCAACAGAAAAATAAAACTATCTTTGTTAGTAACATTATAATCGATAATAAAACAATTAATTTATAATTATTATATTAGATACAAAATAGTGTTGCGAGAGAGAGAAAGAACCGGGAAAGAACCAGAGAAAAAACTTGGGAAAGAACGGGAAAGAAAAACGATTCTTTCCACGCTTTGAGGGAAAGAATCCGTGGCCGCCGTATTTTTTTTACATACATTGGCGACAATGGTAATATTATCAGTTAATATGAATCAACGCGTATCAGTTATCTTAACTATCTATAGTATCTATAATACTTATATCTATGGCCTATGTTGTAACATATTTTCAAGCGTTAACTACTAAAATTTTATTTTTAATTTCTTTTTTTATTTTATGTTGCTCTTTGTTCCACACAAACTTAATGTATGTATGTTAAGTTACATACTATGTTAAGAGAAAGTTTTTTACAATTTTATTTAATATAGCAACTTGTTTCTTTAACTTAATCTATATAACTTATACTAAAAGCATATATTGGACGTTTTCCAACAACGTATACAGGTGATACAGTGTAACACTGCTTGACGCTGTAAAAAGCTAAGTAGTAAGCGTGTAAAATACGTACATGTTACCAACTTTTCAAAAAAGTTATTTGGTAGCCGTACTTATTTTGCAATAAAACTTTCAAAAATCGCCAATTCTGAAAAAATTATAATTTAAGTCTAAATAAATATCATAAATTTATTATTAATACGCTAAATATAATTATAAGAATAAGAATAGAAGACTACAATGCATTCTGGTGTTACCCTGTGAAACTGCGTTTTAACAAGTATCTTATACACAGTGTAACATAGTGTAATGTTCTGTGTCCTAGATGGAAAATAGCCACTATTGTTATTATTATTATTATTATTTGTGCCTTCTTTTTATTGCAAGCTGTTATATTTTATATTTTTTAACATTTCATTCAAGAAATTAATATCAGATGCCATCTTCCAAGGTTAAAGTATAGATTTATTTTGTGTATGCTAAAGATTTGATATTTTTATAATTACTTACATTAAAAAACCGTTTTTTCCCAGTTCCAGGTTCTTTCCTCGGAAAAATTCCGGGAAAGATAGGTTCTTTCCCAACGATTTAAATTTCCCGGGAAATTAACAACACTAATACAAAATATGTAATAATTTCTTCTCATTATATCGCTCCATTATGATTTATTGTTAAACATTAAATTGTAAAACGTTAAATTGTACCCCGCTCTCGAGATGACTTTTGTCGGTCGACAGCTCGATTTCCTCGTAATATCGTCCATTATCCCTTCGATAATTGATGTAGTAGTAATCGATCGAGCCCCAGAAGTTCGCCGGCCTGGCCCAGTGAACGTAAACGGACTCGTGCGATTGGCAAGTTAAATTCAAGATCTGAGGTGCACTCGGTCCAGTTATGTCGGTTCTACGAATGATCTGATCGGATGGCTCGCCCTCATTCTTCCGCGTGTAAGCCTTCACCCAGATCTTGTATTCGGTGTACGGGACTACAACATGGATTCATGAATGACAATTGAGCTAATTCAGTTTCATGAATGAAAGTTAAGAGACTATGTTTTTACGGTGACCGTAATCTGATCGGATCTTAACGAGATTCCCTCAAGTAAAACAGTTTCTTCTCTATCTGTAATTATAATTATACCTCGTAACAAATGTATTTATTTGTAAATATATAATCAGAAAAAAGTACGTGCGACGATAAGAATTGTTCGAGATTTCGTTATCAATAAGCTAAGTACACCGACCTATCTCCGGTTGTCTGCTGTAACAACTATTCGCTGTCGAGTGAAGATTATACATGGTTAATCTCGTGTTATCTGGTGCGTTAAAAAAGGCACAAAGGCCGGATAGCGCATGTCGACCGATGTTAAACATCGTATTCATGCGCGTTAAAATAAAAAAGGTAAACTTAGGCATGACGCTATTCAGTATCCGCTATTCATTCACATAATTTAGAATAATTTAGAATAATAGAAGATAGAATAATAGACGGTATCTTAAGCAATCTTATTCGCGTCAGTCGTATCCTTTATGCAACTTGCATACTTACGTAGTTCTTTCAGCATGAATTCGATGTACGTATCGTCGGAGTCCGCAGATTTGTCGGGTATGTGCATCTTAACGTCCGTGTAATTGGAATGCATGTAGTAAACGCGGTAACCGGCGATGACACCATTGGCGTTCTCAGGCTCCGACCACGAGAGTTCAATGGTGGTGCCCGTGATTCCCCGAGAGGTGAGATTCTCCGGCTTTGTCGGCGCTGGAATGAAGAGAGAAAAAACGGATTTTTCATTATAATAAACCGATTTAATCTTTCCTCTCTCATCATCGTCCGTAATGTCGCGCTGAGACAAAGTATATTCAGCGCATTCAGAAATAGCGAACTACTTCCCAGTGAAATTCTTATTTCATTCTTTTATTGTTAAATAGAACGCTTCTTCGTACGTGCCGTACGTTATTTACATAGACATAAAGAAATAGACCGGGCATGTGCCGTGCACTTTTCTATGGCACATTTTCTATATGTACACGTTGGGTCAAATATAAACGGAAAAGAGATACAAGGCATTGGATCTTATCCTGCTCTTTACTACACGTCGCATGTTGATAAGAAAAGAATATGACTCGATGTTCTCTCACTGTTTCAGGATACTCCGGGATGTACAGTCACTCTGTCGGGTCTATTTCTATACGTTTACGGTTATCCGTTCTCTCTTTCGAGCAGCAGCAGATATCGATACCCAACCCAACTGTATTTCCATTTTTCTAAAGCTCCATTTTCTAGAATAAATAATACGAATAAATAAACGACCGTCCAAGCGTTCATAAGAGAGTTCAAATTTATTGAATATTCATACATCTGCCATGGCATTACCATACGCCACGCGGTGCGCAGTATAAAACATGCAAATTGATTTGCATTCCATCCTCGGCTGCGTAAAATCATTGACAGTATAGACTTGCTTAAACAGCTCATTCCGACGTGCTCTAAATAGAACAATAAATGACGCGTAGTTAGAGAGATCCTCGAATCTACGCAGAAAGAATGATTTTTCGCTGAAGTATCCAAAAATTTAGCTAGATACAGATCTAAAAATACTTTGGTTGGATCAGCAAAATAATTATGTTGACATTAAGCGATGATGACAATGCTGCAAAAAGTTTTAATATTCTAATAACCAGTTTACACGTTCTATGTAATTATTTTGATGGTCCAAATAAAATTATTTTCGGATCTATATATACTCTCCAAAATTGTATTAGAATAAATCACATTCTGAAGAGATCTTAAAGATTGAAAATTGAGCTATTCTTTTCCAAGACTGGTTCAATTTTCACTCTTTAGAGAGAAATTCCACTCCAAAGAGTTATAATTCAAAGAGTAGATATAATTTTTAGACACCTCAGAAAAACCATTCTTGTACCAAGTAAAAAAACGAGAATACTTGATGAATCATAACTAGATTCTTACATTCTAAAAAAATGTCAGTATGGATTTGATTTGACACTCTTTAACGCTCATGCGATGTCTATATAATTTGCACCATGTTGGTGTGGATTTAAAATCCCTGATGTTTATATCAACGCTATCATGGTGTGGATTTAATATCATGGGTATGTAGGTTCAAAACCCATGATGTTAAACACACACTGTGTTGGTGTCAATTTAACATTAACACAGTGAGAATTATATAGACACGGTGTTAAATTCACACCGCTATTTTTTCGAGTGCAATAAAATTAAGATGAGGATTCTGAAATCTTTTATGCACGATTGTTAAATTATTTTACTCGACAATACGGAATACGGGAAGAAAATCGTTTCCTCTTACTGAATCTTATTCTGAAATTTATTCGGCGGTCGTTTCACGTTGTCATCTCCTGCGATATTCCGTTTAAAGCTTATCGAATTCGCATTAGATTAACGACGTGTAATAAAACGCAAGGCTGTCGGAGAGCGGGAG